GATTTCTTTCCGTATCAAATGGTTTATTTAGATGCCACAATTGACCAAAAAAAGCCTCCATAATTTCCAGCAAGTTGCCGTACAGTATCTTGCTAATAATCTAACTCAGTATCCATTAGGATGCTTGTTCAATTTGGTGGATTAATTAAGAAAGAAACCATTACAAACGTCCATTTTTCCCATATATGATAAGGATAAGTCTCATTGGTGCAAAATAATGCACGAAACGGGACCTGAGATTTTCCTCCATCAGTAAAGCTTGTAAGTCGCCATATGACCTATATTTTGTTGGTGCGACGTTAAACCCCCCCCACACACACACACACGGACGCGCACACACACACGCAAACACACACATTCACACGCACGCACGCACGCACGCACGCACACAAACACAAGCACACAGAGGCACACATCACGCGCGCTCACACGCAGACAAACACATACACTCTGAAACAAACGAGCGTTAAATTTAGTAACTGAGTAATTTAGAATGTTAATTCTATTCCGATTGAATTATATTAAGATGATTCTTTAACACCATTCTAGATGCCTTTCATTATGCACCATGTAATGAAAAAACTACGTCATTTGTCCTGGAAAAAAATGAATATCTTTCTGCATACTCGTCTCTTTTGTTCCCGAATCGTTATCACTGAAGTATCTTCATGTCCTGTGAACCCTTTTTTTTAAGAAACTTTGGTTATGATATATAATTATCAAGCAGAGTGGCAAACATTTACTGAATTCACACAAAATATCACTTAACATGGTAACCAATATCGTACAGCTCCAATGACTCAAATCTTTGCACACCGTATACGTGTTGTTGTTCATATCTGAAAAGGGGACCTATTATTTGAAATTATTAAGTTGATGAAGCTATTATTGTTATGATTGCTGTAGTAAATCTTGTGTTGTCTGCAATTCAGTAGCACCCTTTGTTACCCCCCTCCCCCTTCCAATTCTAATTGTTCCATGAGCAGTTCGTGCATGGTACTGTATAATTGTTTTGTAGACACCTCTCTTTCTCCGCTCTGGTCAATTTTACTCCATTTATTTTCAGTGATCTTGTGTGACTGAACGTTATTTTAGGTTGAGTTTCCAAAACTGTGCTCTGATTTGTTGAATTCTGAACAATTACCGAAATTAGATTTAAAATGAAAGTAAAGTGACAATACGTCAATGTACTTAGCTATGCATATTTGTATATTTACATTACTTAACATTAAATAAAATTTAAATATTTGTCCTTGCATGTTGTATATAGAACAGTGCATTATTACTAAAGAGAACATGTATCATTACAAAGTCAGCCGGAATCTCTAAGAAGAAATCTTGCGAAAGAATGACATCAGCAGTACTCATTCATTCAAACATGCTTAAACTATGATAAACATTTTACAGAATACTTTCATTAAGCTTAATTGGCCTCCAAATAATCTAGGTGTACGATTGGTTATTGTGGGATTTTTTTTCCGTGTTAAATCTTGAAATAGTGTATACAATTTCTTGATACAAATGAATGAAAGCTGGTCATTTAGTGCTAACATCAATGTAATGGCAGTATCAAAATATATTGATATCGTTTGCGACGTATCAAAACAAGAATATATCGCATTTCATATCTCATTAACAGTATTATCTGAAGTGTTTTCTTAAAGACGATGTAAAGTGCATTATGAGAGAGGCCTAATTTGTTTCTGAATGTATTGAATTTTGTTAGGTCGTTGATCGGTCGGGTAAAAAGTGGTCAATACAAATAAACTGAAGTAAAACGTGCAATGCCAATTAGTTTATAGTATTCCATTGAACCAGTTGATTAAACTTCAACAAATATAGATGATGGGACCCTTTAATAACCAGTGGAACTTTAAGACAATTTACGAATTTATTCCTAACAGCATTATTCAAACTATTGGTAGTCTTAGCATTTATATTAAAGCGATATTTCTTTGCTTTGAGAAAGAAATGTTATAACTAAAAACACAATAAACTAACATAATTATGCTGTATATGTCTTAAAAAATAGTATAAGCTATAGACAGCATCAAGTCGTTGATCATAAAACACACATAGCGACAGAAATAAAGACGCATTAGTGACAATTAAGATAATGTTACCAATGTTTTCAAATAATATTCATTGTAAAATCATCAAAATATCGTACAATGTTTAATTATAATATGTCAGCCTTTCAAACATTTTCCTGTTGATGACAATGTCGACAATATTTAATTTGTTCAACAAACAGAATCATCATATATTTTGTAAGAAAAGGGTTGTGCTTTGTTTTATACGTGCTCATTTGAACATAGTAAATAATTTAATTATACAACTAAATTTCGTCAGTTTAGAATGATAATTGAAATAAAGTAATTCTGTAATACTGCACGTTTTTAACGTCGCTTTTAATTGGATAAGCGTAGGAAGTTTTTGCATAAAGAAGTTTGCAGTATTATAGATTCGTTATTAGGACTCTTGACAGTTATATGATCATATATAAACAGTTATATTGCATATAACTGTTAATATAAGGCCATTTAACCTGTACAAAAATCTTTATAACTAATACTAATACAACATTCAGGATGATTTATAAATAATAATTTGATTGTTTGTTTAATTTGAAGGTACTTTGTTGCAACAGTGGTTCCCGCTCGCATTCCTGGAAAATTATTTCATGTTTTGTAAAATTAAATCCATACAATGCAATTTATTTATAATGTCGGCTAATTGATTGGAATTAGAGTACGATTGATCATGATCATACTTTATCTCTAAATATCAAATCTTGAAATAGTGTGCACACTTTCTCGTGAAAACTAGTCATTTAGTGTCATCATCAATCAATCTGCAGTATCAAAGTGGGTTGATATCATAGGTAACGTATTAACATTAAGAACAAATTTCATATACTGTACATAATAAACTGTAAAATCTGAAGTGCTTTCTTTAAGGTGATCTGATTCTAAGAAGAAATCGTATTATGACAAGGCTTATATAGCTATTTCTGAAAACATTGAATTTTGTTGGGTCGTTGGTCGGTCAAGTGAAAAATGAACAGTATGAATATATTGCTATTTTCCGAAGAATGCCAGTCAGCTAATCTTATTTCATTGGCGCAGTTGATTGAACAAATACTCTCAAACGCTGGTAAACTTTTTAACTTATCATTTGTAAAATGTATTCACTTTCACTGATTATAAATCAATTTAAGGGGAGTTAGCTAGGAAGTAGATAGTTTACGACTCAAAGAAGTGATAATGTAAAAATCAAAAGCTTTAACTTTATACGATTATGGCTCATTAATCATATAAACTATATTGTAAGGTTATCATTATTGATTTAGTTTATCACATGTAACATTACAATATACTTAGAACTTAAAACAAAAGATAAAACAAAAAAAGTTGAAATAACTGTCTCAAAGTTCTTGAACTAATCAATATCCTTACAATAATACAAAGTACGAGTAATTAGGTTTACTGCATTATAAAAAGGAACGTCCTTTATATAACACTGCAAGAAATAAGAACACACACCGCTGACATAAAAATCTAATGAATGATAACAATACATTAGAGTATTTAAACATCAGGTAATAAGCTGACCTAAATATCTTTTTAGCTTTTAACTGTTAAAAGTTTCCCGACACGTTGTATCCTTAATGAACGGGACTTTTAGTGCCTTAAAACTAATTTGGGTGCGCCTGCATTTTGTTTTCATTATTCTAGCAGATAGTATTAAAATCACGTTAGTTTAGGTGTTTTCTGAATGCACAGAATTTCAATGATTCAAACTGAAATTACTCTTTTTAATAGAATGGACGGATTGGCACCAGATGAAATGCCGTGGAACGAATTTATAATTAAAGCGGCGTTTTTGTTAAAGATAAAACACAATCAAATGACGTATAAGGATATTTGGTTTCTTAGAAATGGATTTACAGTGTCTAAAGAGGGAATAAAAATACCTAAGATAAAATAAAGTATTAAATTTGGCAAAAGTTTGATAAAGAGGATACTTGTTATTGCATTTTTCATAAATCTTATTACAATGTATAGGAAAATTGTTTTATTTTCAATACTTTTCGATGTTTAATTTAAATGTGTTCTAATGTGTGTGTATATTAACAGATAAATTAAAAAGTTCTTTTTAGCGTAATAAAAGTAGAGATATAATGTATCTATAAAATGCTATTACCTCTCGGTATTGAGTGCACATTATACAAAACTGAACATGTTAAACTAATAATACTTGATAAAATATAGTTTCATGGCATTTAAATTTAGTGCATTAAATTGTTAGGTTATGGTACTTATATTGTTAACATTCTCTATAAATAAAAGAGAAAATAATAACAAATAAAAACAGTTCCTTTTTTTATTGTTAACTTTAGATAATTTACAAATTTTTGGGTACAATAAATTTCGGCGGTAACTTGCACTATAGTTTATTCCACTTCTTCTTTCACAGACATTTAACCGCACAATAAAAGACAAGCACACAAACATGTTAATCTTAGGAAAATAATCATTGCCGTCAAAATTGATTGTTAAAACAATATTTATCTACCTTTAAATGTAAAATGTGTAAATATTTATATCGTATTAACTACTACATGAATTATTGTCGAGGAATTGATTTGCTTTAGAATTAATTAATAAAAAGTCAAAATCATCTTGTTTTTTTTTAGTAGTCAGAGTAAAAATATCTACAGCCCCTCCTTTAATCAAGCGGAAAGGAAATTGTGTATTATTATTTAACTTCAGTCTTATTTTCCCAAGAATCACTCTGTTTATTTCTAAGATACGAGATTTTATGTGTCGCATGCATGAATGTTGGATCAATTCATTTCTCTTTTTAATCAATTACTAAATTGCAACTATCAAAAACCGTCATTAAAAGATTGAAAACATAATTACAAAGAAAATGTACTATATGAAGCAATACTTCATCCGATTTGACACAAACGTTTCTGAGTGTGAATACAGTCGTCATTTCAGATTTACATAAATAAATGTTTATATATAATAACTAGTATAACTTTTTTCTCTATTAAATGCATGATTTAATAATTAAAAAAACAAATAGTCCTTAATCCTAATCTTGAAAATCATAAATGCATGTATTCGAATTATAAAGAGAAAAAAGTGACCTTTATAATAAAAGTTTTAAACTGATTAAAGCTAATATGACATGAATAAATTACATTATAATCAATCAGTATAGAAATGACTTCAGAAAATGAAATGATTTTCAAGTAGGTAAATAATAGTTCCATTTGTAAAATATCAGCATTTAGTTTATAAATCATGCAAGTAAATTATATGATAATATTGCACTATTGTATTATAATTTCAATGTTAGTAATCTGACGTGCTGTCATCATGTACTGGTGTTGTCATTCTGTTTCTAGCCCCAGTGATATAATCTGCACGTGATGCCGGAGTCAGTCCCTTTCGTCGTTTGCAAAATAAAAGTCTTTTGAAAGCAGTTCTGAAGTCTCTTGCAAACAACGCATATATGCAAGGATTTAACGCCGAGTTGCAATATCCTAGCCAGAAAAATACAGCAAAAACGATATCACTTACGCAGTCATGACAAAAAGCGCCTAATAAATATATTGTAAAAAATGGACACCAGCACACAATGAAAGCGCCTACAATTATTGCCAGAGTTTTTGCAGCTTTAGCTTCTCTTTTAAATTTTCTTGCATGTCCTTTGACGGACGATGTGGCTTTCCCTTCTCGTATGAGCAATTTTATTCTTCGCGGTGATCTCTTGAGAGACTGAGCAGGAGAATTGTTAGGACTATCTCCGTCTAAACGAAGTGAGTTTGGCTTTACAAGACTATTGCTTTTATTACTTTCAGAATTTAAAATATCCATTTCTGTAGAGTCCTCTTCGCTGGATTGGGCATAAGATTTTTCCTTAGATCTTTTAAATTGTTTTGCGAATGGCTTAAAGATATTTTGAGACCATTTCGAACAGTTACCATTGTTGTCCATGTTTATTGTTTTATTGTCTTGCAGGATAAGATGAGCTCGACCATTACATTCACGAGTATTTGGTGCATTTACAGGAGTCCGAGGCTCCAACTGAGGTGACCTATGACGTTCCTTCTTTGGGTTACGTTGTGAAGCTGTCTTCCAATCATAACTACGATTCGAAGAGTATCTTGAAGACCCGCCACCTCGGTGTATACGTAGATGTATTTCTTCAACACCATATCCATTCTGATGTGCTAATTCGCTACGAGCACGAGTTGTAAGTACACCTTTCCTTAGCGATGCAGCTGTACGGACAGCAGTAAGGTATATTCTAAAATAGAAAAATACCATCACCAGTGCGGGAATAAAGAATGACCCCATAGCTGCATAAATTCTATAACCTTTTGTGGGTGTAAGTTCACATGTTAGACCTGCTGTATTACAGGTGTTAGATTTGTTCATCAACATTGTAAAATTGAAGAACAATCCATCGAGATATTCCGTGGTGGTTAGATTAAAGAGATATTCCTCATTTGTTCCCGTGGGATTGTCTACAAGCTTATCTAGATTTGAAGTTGAGCGATTGAAAAATAAGTTAACATCCTTTCTCTCTGATTCACCGCCATCATTCCAGCCTAATAAAGGCGGAAGACATATTACGAAAGAAAGAATCCACACAAACGAAACTAATACGCGCCCACGAAAAGGTGACATTATGCTTGGGTATCGAATCGGGTGCGTCACTGCAACATATCTATCCAGACTTATTGCACATAAACTTATTATTGAAGCCGTACATAACCATACGTCTATTGCAAGCCACATGTTACACCAGATATGACCCCACAACCAAATATCCACAACTTCAATAGATATTGAAAACGGCAATACAGCGAAGCCAAGTAATAAGTCAGCACATGCTAAAGACACAATAAATATGTTTGTTACTGTTCTCAGTTTCCTCGTAGTCAAAACTGCGGCAATCACAAGGCTATTACCTAGCACCACAGCTAGGTCTATTAGTCCAAGAGCAACAATTTTTACAACGATATCAGGTGTTGGAGTGCCTATTACCGCATCAGAAGCATTAAAACAATCCGTGTTTGTTCCATCCATCCTGGATTCATAAACGCTTTCTGCCAATGTATGCTATAGGCACTTTTATATATTCTGCATCCAATCCCATATATTTAGTTCTATCTTCCGATTTTAAGGTTCACAAGTGCAAACACTCCTAAATAGTAATCAAGTTTGATAAATTACACAATAATAGATAAATAATTTTAACGTTAAATATGCCTCTTATAATAAAATCGCTAATATTAAACATACAATCTGTAAAAATCACACACAAAACTGATTAACTCCACAACAAACGTCTCATTTCGGTGACACACTTGACAAATTTGTCTGAATAATTTCCAGCTAAATTTTTATACAATCTCCCATGGTATTCGAGTGTTTCTCATTCCCTAATAAGACGTACCAATTCCTGTCGATAATTGGAAATGAATTCACTACATTAGTGAAATATCCTAGGATATCCGCAATGGATAATTTTCTGTACGCACTTACTCCTCATATCATACAGGAGGAAAGGTTTGGAGCATTAATCCTCTATATGTACTTAAGATTTTATTTAGGAAACTAACCGCTATTTACTTTGAATTATGCGGCAATTGTTTCAAAATTGCTAGGCAATAAAAGTTATCTTCTGTATGCGAGTAAACACTTGGTGATCGTTAAACAGTTAACTTGGTTATAAAACTACGATAAAGCGATAAGAATTGCTATTCAAGTAGCACTAATGAAGATTTATAATTTGAAAGATTCCTTTAAACTGGTTTGATGAACTTACTTGTCCTTTAGATAACGTCCAGTGCCCTGAATATATGACATCAATGCGGATATATAGTTATTGTATAAATTTTAAATCCAGTTTTACTTGAATATTCACGTTTGATGAAAATATTGTAACAATAAAGTACAATAATTATCAATATTCTATATGTATATTATAAAGTACTTACTCTACAGCCACATTGATGTTTTATATATATATATATATCAATAAATGCGCTTTTTCAACTTCATATCGTTCGTATTTGTTATCTTTTCTAAAAGAAATGAAAATAGTTTTTTTTTATTTGAGGTCGCTTTCAACGAAATATAAAATATTACTTGACAGTGCTACAAAAGACTTGCTACTGAATCCTTCTGTAAAATTGGCTTATTTGTATTCATGATGAAACGCAATCAATTTAACGTGATAAGCGTTCCTGCCTGTTGAGATTTTTCTGTCTGTTTATGTATATTTTCTGTCCACTGACACAATCACTGGCAAACACTTTCTATAGTTTAGCTGTCCGTCTTGAATTGGTTTGTATAAATTCATGTAAAAGTTTCTCTCTCATTAGAAGATGTTCTTGAGATAAAATACCTAACCACATGTTGATATTGCATACATTTTCTTGTCAAAACGTTTAAGTTATGCGCAATAATCAACGCGGTAGAAAATTGTTATTCGAAGATGAATATACTTTTTTCTTTTATTTTAATACATCCACTAGATCTATTTAGAGGTGCATCTATATAATTACGATATGTTTTTCAATTTATTTCATTTTTTAATCTTTGTGTAGAATGACACTGCCACATCTACCGTGAAACTTCCTTCCGACCGAATACTATGATCCACATCTCAAGCTTTTTGGGTTGTCAAAAATGTCCAATGATATTCAACCTGAAAATAAACAGTAAAATAAAAAAAAATATATATCATTGTACTTAAATCAGATAAATGATAATTATTCTTTATACTAATTGTACATTGAGTAGAAAGAAGATTAACGTATTACATCAATCGAACTCTTCATTAACTGATGTAAAACCGGCCAATATTAATACGATTTTGACACGCAAATTACAGGAAGTCTTGTGAAATCCGACAAAACACAAATATCCCGTTCACACAGACTGAACTTCCGTGTTTAAGTTAAAGTCCTTCTAGTAGATCGGGACAAAAGGACATTTGTGCTGATAATCAAGCGGCTGTATATTTGTGATTATAACTTTGACAACCTTTATTTACAGCATGCTTGATGTTTGAAACATCATTTACAAAAAACACAACATTTTCTCCTCTCAGCATACTCCGCTAAAAGGGACTCCCCTGAGGATTTTTGACATGACGGGACTGAAAATATTTTTTTCCAGATAAATGTACCATATGATGAAGGTTTAGACCACTAATCTTTGTGCACAATTCCAGATCATTCGCGCACTACATTTTTCCAGAATAATTTTTCAAATTGTAAAAAAATGACCCAAAATGAAAAGCGTTTAAACACTTTCTCCACAAATCGGGCTAAGAAAAGCATAAACATATGATTCTCAATTTATTTCAAAGTATATTTCTTTACTATCTTTGCTTTTATTTTTGTTTTAAGTGCCCCAGCTCATTTATGTAAGAAATTCAAATGTAATGTTTTGAGACTTATAAACTTCAGTGGAGTCCCTTTAAGTCTATTTGGCTTATATGTTTTATTTTGATGTATTAACCTAGGAATGTCCATACAAGTTTAAGAAACACTTTTATTTCATAACATATAGCAACGCAATTTTCTCCAAAACAACTTTTGCATTTCTTTGCTAGATTCTCAATATTTCATCAAACATTTAGTATCTATTATGAAAGCTAAGTTTTTAGTTAAAGTCGTATATATCAATTTTCTTAGCATCATTTGAAACTAAAATTATTCTTTCAAAAAGTAGATAAAAACAGATTCCCATAAAACTGAACAAAAAACAATCACGGAATTTCTTTCATCATCATTTCTCTTTTTAGATAATTGGATTAGCGAAAAAAATGGTTTTACAGCGTTCTATGAAAGGTCAGGCAGAAATAGCAAAATTACAAAATAACACTGGAATTGAATTTTTTTTTATATAAAAAAGAAATTAATTATCTGTTATCAATACAAAATTGCCATTATGAAACCAGCCAGGTTTTTTGTTATACTTTAATAGAAACAACAACTGAACGCATAACAGTACAAGATTCATCTCAAATTGAAATTAATATGATAAGAGTTCAATGTGTTTACTTTGTTCATTCTGTTACAATATTATCATTATAGAACTACTTCCTTTGATGGTCGAGTCCGTAAGATGATTGTTTGATTAAGAAATATATATATCGTATAATATTGCTGTCTACCATTCAGATGTCGGTCATCAACAATTATACCGTTGGTTACACATAATTATATAATAAGTTTTTATGTATGTATATCATAATTGTACCGTCAATCACGTCCATAGATGATTTGTCACCTTGAACAACTTTATGCTACACCCGACTAACGATTATTTCTGTGCACTAGATTACTAAATCAAATAATCATAACCTTTTTATTTTAATAAAACTTGAACCTCTGGTTTAAAAAGTATTCTGCATGTAATTACCTGCATAAATTAATGCCACATAATTGTTTAAACTGTAAATAAAATAATATCTAATCGGTTAAAAATTCCGATATATTATTATTATTATTATTATTATTAAACTTTTTTTGTTTCACTACTGAAACAAAAATCATGATAGATGTATTAATTGAGTTATAGATAAAAGGTATATGGTGTAATAATAAAAAGCCCCGTACATGTTAAATAGAATCAATGTGAAAAACAGACAAAATCAAATAACGTTGTATGTATATAACATCATCACATGTCAGTGTTATGAATAGTGTTATCTCTATATATAATACCCATTTATGTGTTTATAATCTACTTACTTATATAACCGATTATGTTAAACGGAGAACGTCATTCTCCTTGTTGCAAATATAATATCTAAACAACAAGAATGTTAGCTGTATGACGTAACAGTGTATCACAGTTAAGATGTTTTAAAGAACTAAAGCTTGTTAAAGAGTAGAGATAGCATAATGATGACTATTTTACATCATGTTGATGGCCGCTAATATACAACTATCACGTCCGAAATGTAATACTGTTATTAACTATTACCATTTCTTTTCATTTAAATATAGCTTATTTAGTTAATGAGTTAACAATTTGTTTTTATTAAACCGGTATATTAGTATATATACACCATTAAAAAGTATGCATGTAGCTGATTTATGTGCTTTCGCCCAGCGACACGCGGAGCGGAAGTACGACATGGCAAAAATCAGCCACCATAGTCCATGATTACATTTTCATGGACACTGTCATTAGTATGTTTTATCCTTTTTAATGTTTAATCTCATCTCACCTTAAATACTGTTGACTTATCATACAACATGAACTTCACATGAACTAATATATTTCTCATGAGGCACGTTGCTAGAGTATACTACAAAAATCATTTCAGAATCAAAACATCTGCAGACAAAGCAAACGTCAAAAAAATCAGTTGTTTCTTGAAAACAAATTCAATTGACTCATCATATTTTCTTACCGTTTAAGCCATTTGCTATTTGGGAAACATACAAAACAGTTTTTTTCATCATTTGGTTCAGGATCGGCAACACAACCGCAAACGCACAGTAACGACAACAAAACCGCACAGTAAGAACAACACAAAACCGCAAACACACATTAACGGCAACAAAATCGCACAGTAACGGCAACAAAACCGCAAACTAGCGACAACAAAACTGCAAACTAACGACAACAAAACCGCATGCTTACGGCAACATAACCTGCCAATTACGGCAACAAAACCGCACAGTAACGGCAACAAAAACCGCGCACTAACGGCAAACAAGTCACACTATAACGGCAATAAGCCACACAGTAACAGCAATCAAGTCACACACTAACGGCAACATAACAACCTTTACGGCTTACAAACCACACATTACGGCTAACAAACCGCACACTAACGGCAACAAGCCACACACTAACGAAAAACAAGCCACAACATACACTCTAACGGCAAACCAGCCACATACTAATAGCATCTAATTTTAACAATATTGGAAACGATATCATAAATTTTCATGATGTCTCTATTATTTAAATGACTACTCTCATTTTAAAGCAATGATATATTGCCACAATCATACATACCCATGACTTCATTCCAATTTATCCAAAACAATTTATTTGAAAATTTTCAGTTGAAGTATATTATCTCCTTTAAATGATTTATGCAAACAGAAACGTTTTATACTGCACCGACAGCCAACATTCTACATTACAATCTAATTGTAAAAGTATCTCTTTTAACCGCCCACTATTTTGATCAGCGAGAACGTCCAAGACTCGATATTATGAATGCGAGACATTTTCTTTTTCTCTCTATTTATCAAGCATCTGTTCACACAGAATTCTGCGATCTTCCATTGACTTTAGTTTGACCTTTTGTATAACTTTGATTTCTTCGAAATTATTTGTACTCGAACAACATAAAAATTAAATATCCAATTTCCTGTAACCTTATCAATGTAAGCGTGACAGTCGGTGTTTATATTAATCAAATTATTGCATCAAAATCCCTAAATTAGGAGAAAGATGTATTCAATTTCTTTTATCAGTACGGTGTTAATACTCCTTACTTAATATACTGATTGAGTCATGGTGTCAATTTAAAAGTATAGGCACAATTAAAAAAAACATGCATATCTTAATTAAAGAAGTTCCTTTTAACGAATGAAAATAATGTAAAATCATCGAAACATTTAGAACATTAAGAGGCTATAAAATCTATAAGGTACTTTTAAGAAACAAAATACATCACCAAATTCAGAACGAATAACTTTTTAATGATATCTTCATTTGTAAAGATATTTATTCAAAAACACGCGGTACATAACGTATGGGAATATTATCCAAACCTGTGGAATGAAATTATGTTTTTTTCACAAACATTTTCATCATTTTAAAAGATGCGGTTTTACAAAGAGCATTCTCGTACATCCATAATCCAGTAAGAAGTACAAATATCATTTCACGTGGAAAAAATAATTGAAGCATAAAGTTATACCAATATAATTACCGAAATAAATTACTCAAAGCCTGTAGATATATTACAGAACATTTACATGTTTTTCCCTTACATTACAACAGTACATTATAAGAGATATCTATGACAATATGAGAGGTAAGCTGCCGTGTACCAATATCGGGGACACGACGTCACGTCTTCTTGCTATGATGTCAATCATACAATGTAAGTTAATTAAGTACCTCCTGTCGACATGACCCTATTTCTTATCAAAACTTTTTTATTGACAGCCTGTCATAATATCTAGGAAATATAATAGAAAAACGATTTACTTAATCATAGCAATTAATCGCTTTTCGTCACATTAATATTATTTCAAAACAGGCGAACTGTAATCAATTAATATAAATCGTTGGATTAGTTTGGTCGGTACATTCAACGTACATTTAATGGATTCATTCACACACTATGTTTGATGCAAAGTTTATCAAATACTTGTATTATTATATCCTACTACAAATTCTTCTTTCGTTAAATACTTTTCGAAGAAATTATATCTAAAAACGTTTATATGTTCTGCATAACTGCAGATATTTTCAAAAATAACTCTGTAATACTGTAAAGTAAACATACATATTTAGCTGACTACTTTTAAATGAACAATGTAGAAAAATACATACTCTATATGACATGTATGAAAGCATAAATACTTAAAGAATAACACTTTCATTTTATTATATTATCCGGTAGAATTTTTTTGTTCACAGAAAATGCTGCAAATGTTA